ATTTTGCTCTCTCGATGTTAAAAATTGCTCTGTAGAATCAAAAGATTGACAGCAAAAAAACATTCAAGTACTGCACCGAAGGAATGGCAAGCTTGTACAGGAACAAGACAACCCACTTTAGGAACTGCTGTTCGTGGGCATCACTGGAGATGCATGGAAGATGCCTGTGGGCCTGTCTTCTGCAGAGAACTGTTCCATCGTAACGGCCTGCTGTAATGCGTGTACTGTAACATTTCCAACAGCACTGAACTCGGTGGGATTTCTGCTGGAGAATACTTTAGGACCTCCACAAATGCCACCAGGAGATTGAGAATGGAGGTCAAGTGTAAGAAAAGGCAGTCAAAAATAGGGCACTTTACACTCCTTTAGAAAAGGATAAACAGGACTGTAATAAGAAAATTGGAATTACACATTTATTATTTTTATAAAATAGATGTTTAACAACTCACATTGACCTGTAACACTGTAGTCCTCCTGTCTTATTTTTCTATTATTCAAGCAAAGACACTTCTCTAATACAGAGACCAAAGTCTGATTTTGCACATCACATCCACGGTAACAAAAGGAATAACTTGTGCTACACTTTTGCATATGGAACATCTGCTTTGTGAATACAAGTCCACAGGTTGCACACAAGAAAGTTAACAGGGCTGGAACGTCTCAGAAGCCTAGCCCTGGAAAAGACATGACACAGTTGCACACTTTCCAGCGGAATAAACTACTCGTGCAGTTTTATCCACCAATTTTTCCTGGATTGCTTCCTTACCAGTTGACCACCAAGAAACTGAGTTGCATAGCAAAGTAAAAAACCAAGAAAAAACTCCTAATCTTACCTTCAGGACAAGTATTGGCAAATACTAAAACTGATCTATTTTTAATGCTAGCTTTTTAAAAAATATATATCCTTTAACAATCTAGTTAACCAGTAGCAGAGGAGGAAGGAACTAATCCATATTGATCTCTTGGTTAAGATTTTTTGCCAAACATGATTCGAGAGTTTACCTTGAATCAAGTACAGTATTTAATACTGTATTGTTTGACTGATGTACTGCTGGGAGACACAACGAGCCAGTAGATATTTCTGTCTGTAACTATCAGTATGATTCTTAAAATATGAACATCTAAGCCTCATGACACTGAAGTTTTGAACCTGATATGGCATAACTATACTACAACTAAGGCTAACATCATTTTATCACTTAAATCTTTGGCTGCTTTCTACTTGCTAAGGTTCCAACAAGAAGCCCTCTACTGCTAGTTTTCTCTAAGAACACGTTCTGTCGTACAGGGTTGGTTACCTTTTCAATTATCAAGGGAAAGAATTCATCTGCTTCCTTAAAGTAGAGCCAATGAGCCTTTCTAGTAATGGCCAATTATGAAAAGATTCACTTTTCACTTCATGATAAACTAGACATTTATGTCCTCATCATGACTGTTTCCTGTGAAAAAAAAAGTGTGGTGTACAGCTCATGATGAAGAAAAAAGTACCAAAGAATTTGCTTTTTTCTTCCAACTTCTTCAGGATTTTTCCTTGGTTTTCGTCATCTTTTTATTTAACCCTTTCCTCCACATCACTGTTTAAGTCTACTCGCATTTTAATGCAGCTGATAAATCATAAATGTCATATATACTAAATCATATTTCATAATCTCACATGCTAGTAAAATGTAACAAATCAGTATGAAAACAAATCCGATACCACCTAATGGTAATTGTAACTGGCTTAGCCCAGCTAAAAAAAAAAAAAAAAATTAATGATGGAGGCTAGAAAATTGCTCCAATTCACAGCCTACAGAGGTTTTCTGGTGGGCTTTCTTTTTGTTCTTTAATTGTCTTAATAAATACATCATTATATTCTTTGCCTATTGTCTCCACTAAAAATAAGATGCCTACATTAGGCCAAAGAGTTTCACAAGATTTTAAGAGGTAGAAAGAGGAATGAATTACTTAGTTTGTCCACTTCACCCGGGTTTGGAAGTCACATTTTTCTTTCTAAAAGAATCAACAGGAATTACTGTAGTACTCTACATTAATCCACATCTTAGTACACTGACATTAATATTCCTGTTTAACTTTCTCAAACTTGGTTTGTTCAAGGTTATATTTCTTCATATTCACTAAAATTCAGCAACTGTGAATTGCTGGGCTAACGAAAATTCAAAACGGGCCAGATAAGGGCTGCAGTTCGCTTCAGTTTAAATCACATTCAAACATTGTTCTGAGCACACATTTTGATGCATTAAAATAACTGCTTCAATCTTTATATGCATTAGGGTCGAATCACCCAGTGGACATTGGGAATTCAAACTAGTGAAAATAACTGTGCTCTGCAGACAGTAGCACCCTTTCCAGAGGTTCTCCGAGGGAAGCTTTAATTTGTGCTTAGGGCTTCATGGGAGCCCTATTAGTAAAGATGCCTTGGGGAGATGCTGAACTAGTATCGCCACAACACGCGTGCACGTGTGTGCGCAGGAGGCCACACTAGTCACAGGTAAGACAGACAAATCAAACGGTAGCATCCCCCATCAGCTCTTCTATTATCTGCCCCACTTTGTGCCAATTTCCTCCAGCTTCCCCAACACTTCTTGCTTTGCTGTTCTTCCTTAAGACATGGGATGGGGATTTGTCAAAGTCAATGAGCACTTTATTACAGTGAGAGTGCTCAGTAATGAACAATTCAGCAATTTAATGAGATTCTGTAGATCTGTCTCCAGCCTGTCCATCAAGTTTCACTTCTATAAAGCACCCTGACACTAATCCTCTGGCATACCCAATCTTCACCCTGGGCTGAATATTAGATTCTTCCATGGTATATTGCATTACCACTATAACCTTAGCAAAAATGATGAACTTAACTACACTTGAGGCAATATAGCTGGTCTGATTTGATTTTCTTCTATTGGGTTGACTATGAGGGAATTACTTATTTACTAAGATAAAGCAAAAAAACAGTTTCTTACTGCCTTCTGAATGCCTAAATTGGTAAATATTTATGTGTGCCTTTTAATTCATCCTGAGAACCTGGAATATTTATAAATATATATTTATTCCTGGTTGTATAGACTGAATTAAAAAGACACACACAAACATTTTTGCCTGCAGCGGAAAACTAGTTTTAAAAAATTCTTTGGAACAGCATTAGTAACCTTTAGAGAGGCAATTATGATAACACTTAAATGGACAGTGTGGAGTTTGTTGTCACTCAAAAAGCAGCACATTACCTACAAGTATCTCTCCCCAGTATGACCCTGCAACAGAAATATAAGCTTTGTCATATCTGCCTCGTGAAATGTTCATTGACTGGAGCGCACACAATTAAGAAAATTATTTCTGAGTTCTTCCTACAGGACAGGACAATGACACAAGATTTAAAAACTCTTCACTTCCTAAACTTTGTTTCAGCAGGTTGTACAGGGTATGTTATGCAAACGCTTGCTCATCATTAAGCTGGCATTAAATAATATTTGTATGACTTTCTGTAGCAACTTTTCTGCCAAAAGTATCACCAAGCATGTAGGTAGGAGATTTCACTGAACCTGCAGAGAAGTTATAATAAAATCAAAATTGGCCAATCAGCCCCAAATATGAACTTCTACATCAAAACCTTTTCTGATAAAGGCAGTATGAGCTAGGACTCAGAGTATCCTGCCTAAAAAATCCAAACCTGCAGATTCTGTTGTACAGACATCCTCCAGAGACTAAGATTGGAAAAAGCTTATATTACTATCTGCAGAAAGTATCATCTTCATAAAACACTCCACAATCTAAAACCTCAAAATTTTGAAAACAAGTACGTCATTACCAAACTGAAGGGTTAAGTTAAATCTGCATACTGTTGCAGAGGTCTGAAGAGCTTAACTAGACATTTTGTTTTTTTCAGAATAAATATTTTGTTCCTGCATGATATTGTTCATCCGCAGAACATGAAGTGCACCACAGATGAAAACACGTTTTACACTTTGAGAAAACGATAGCAAATAGATGAAAAGATTTGCTTAGAATAATCCAAAAGATAAGTAGATAAATAACAGGGATTGAAATATTTGACTCTCAGTCTTCTCTGTTGGACCAAGATAACCCACTTCTTAAAAAGAAAGCACAGGTTTCTTTCAAGCAAGTTACATTCTACCTTGAAATACCCTGAAACACTTTCCTTCTATAAAACATGACAGCAAAAAGAAAACAGAAAGAATTGTTTGGTAACAAACATTACAGAGATTTTCTTCCACGATATCATGAATTGCAATTTTTACAGACATCTGATGGTAATGTTTTCAAGGATTTATTTTGTTTTAGATTTTGAGTTTCTCTTTACAGGCTACGTTTTTTTTCATATTAGGTTTTTGGGGTTTTTTCCCCCTCCACACTAAAGGTCATGACATAATGGTTTTTTATGTTGTTAATATTCTATGGCTAGCAACCTGGCCCTTTTCTGGATCCAGTTCTTTTTTTACTGGAAATGATTGCTACCTCCAGCTTCTTACCACAAACCTTCCACTGAAGCCTCCACTCATCTCTGAGCAGAGCAGTCTGTGTGTTGATTCTCTAATTTGCTTCAGGCAAAGTCAGTTGTGGTGGCCTAAACAATTTCAATGACTACGAAGTTCCACAGCTAAGTTTGCCTGAAGTGAACGGAAGAGACTACAGAAGCAGGTTTGCTGGCAGACCTGCGGTACCAGCCTCACCAGAGGCAACGATAATTGAGTTGCATGCATCGGCCATCTCTTTCCATCAGCAAAGTTGGATCTGGAAGAAAATCTCTCCCATATCTGAGTAACACAAGTTAAGGAATGAGACAAATTTCTCTTTTAAACAAACTAATTGCATTATCACAACACAACGCTTTTTGAATTTCATTTAAAAATTTCCCTCGGTTGTTATTCACAGTTTTTGCTCAAGTGCTTATTCTCCCTCGAGATTGCTCCAGGGTTTCAAAACAACAGATTACTGCTACGGTTTATAGAGTATCACACATTCTGCTTGTTCACCAATCTCCTTACCTGCCAGATTTGTTCTTCACTGAGTGAAGTGAGTCTATCGCTTTTAAAAACCTCTCGAAGAAGACAGTATGGGAGTGCCAGAACTTCTTCAGGATGACTCTTCAATAGCTCTGAGAGATGTTTTACTAAGAAGTCAACCACTGCATTCTCCAACAAAGTGAGGTTGAAGAGATCCGCAAGCTTATACAGGTCCAAGTAATTAAAACTATTTAGTTCCTAAATGGGTGAAGCAAACAAAATACATCTCAGAAAAAAAAAAAAACCACAAACAAAACAAAACAAAAGAGAGAACAAAAACCCACACAGGTCTCAGATAATGAAAAAAGGTTGTTCTTTTGGAGCTATGGAGTAGGAAAGTAATATAACTTGAAATTAATTAACACAGCCTCATTCAAAATGTATGTGGAAATGTTACCACTGCATATGCAAATATCTATGATAGTGCTAATTTATATTGCAACTGCTAAGGTTACATATACATGCAGCATCTGTAAGAAATATGGATTAGTACATAAAATAATAAACCAGCATGATTTACACTGTATGACAAGAGCTCGTAGGAGTCAACACGTGGATTAAAAAAACGTATTTGTTAACTGCAATGGTTTGTTAGAAAGCAATTGTTTGTTCGTTATTTACTGTTTTGATTGAGCTAGAGCACCTGTGTAGTATGACTTAGTTCCATGAAACCTCACAAAATACGAGATGCTTAGCTACATTTCATTATGTATACATTTATCTCCAATGAACAAATAGATACTTTTTTTCCCCAACTACTGACATCAACCCATAGTGGATGTTGGCCTTGTATTATTTCTCCCCCTCTGTCTAACAGAAGAATATCTGCAGAGACAAAAGCTACAGTAACTCAGGGCAGGAAGTTTTTTTCCACCCTGTAACAGATAACCTATATTTACAGACTAATGTTTTCAGCTTGGCATCCCTTGTAAACTAGCGCCTGGACAGCTAACTACTGCTATTGTGGCCCACACGCTCTCCAGGGGCCAAGAGAATTCCCCAAGAATACATCCATATTGGAGAAAAGCAGCCAGGACGTCTGGGAAATCAGCACGTTTACCGTTTTCTCTGTTCTTGCTGTATGCTCACACCTCTCTTCCTCTCCCCTCCGCAATCCTGGTTTTCATCTTCCAATTTACCGCATTGCTCCCTATCAGCCGCCTTCTCCTTGACCAGCTCCATGTGTGAAAATGACAAGAAGTCTTGTCAGTTTCACTTTGCTGGTTAGTTAACACAGGGACTAGAGCAGGAAAGAGAAACAGACTAAATTAAGTCAATTTCACTTTCACTGCTCTGCTGGGTGGAATGGCAGCACCAAATGAAACTGACAAGAAATCTTGTAAATGTCAAATGAGCTGCACGGCTGGCAGATAGAGCAGAGCAACAGGGAAGATGGGAAAGTGCGAAGAGGGGTTTTTTTGGAATGTTTTATGGACTACATCTCGAACGTGTGAATTGGGTGGCTGTCCCAATGACTGTGGAGCTGTTTATGCATATGCAACGGAGAGTGGAGAAAGAATTTTTTTTCACCTGCTTAGAGGAGTCAGTACTGGAGGAAACTGAATCAAATTCCTGTGGAGGCTCCTGCTTGTTACGTAATCTCCCAGTCTGAACGGTGCACCTTCCCTGGCAGGCTTCTACCTTAAAGATAGATCCTATTCATGATCTACTTAAACTGCTGCACAGGAGTTTCACATCGCTTTCTTGGAAGAACAAAGAAAAGTTTTTCACATTGTCAGAACAAGCACTAACAGCCATCATCCCAAAAGCCACAGATAATCCAGTGTCAGTTCCTCTTCACACTAGCACAGAGGAGGCAAGGATAAATCCTCCCTAGTTGCAGAAAGAAAGAGAAAGGAACGATTTCTACACGAGAAGTATGTGGTCTGTGTGCCTGCTCGCTGGTTTAATATCTGTAGATCACAGATGGTATCTCGCACCACCACTTCTGTGATGGCCATGCAACGGTGTCAACAACGTGCAGGAGTATAATCAAAGTAAGCAACACAGCATTTGACGAGCAACAGCCATGGTTTATTGTCCCTGGTTTGGAAGACGATCTTTTCAGAGAACTCCCTGATTGAATGAATGCCAAACATCCAGAAAGAAATTTAGAAGAGCCCAGTGTATATTTATTGAGGTCTTTTGACATCAACAGCTATATTTGAGGAGGATAAAAATAAACAAATAAAGAATAAAACATTACAATCTGAGGATTGACAATCCGACTAAAACACAGGCCTGATCAAACCCTACTAAGTGTCAATGGAGGAGGACAGATGGCTTTTGGTGGTCTTAGAAGAGGACAACACTGGAGATAACATAATAAAATCTCTCCTTATTAGAGAGAAACAGTAACATGACGCACAAATACAGTTTTACCCTGAAAAATCTTCACATTTTCAGTGAAATCTGAAATGCACTGTAAGCCGTCATTTTTGGTTTGGGTATTTTTGATGATCCCCCAAACGCCCTATCCCCTCAAATCAACACCAATTGAGGTTTTTTATGAACGCTGCTATACAGATGAAGAGGCCAAATATATTTATGGATGGATGGATAAATAAACTCTCACCAGTTGTTTATTTACAATATTATTTATTTTTATGTGTTCGCTTATTTCAACTGTTTATTTATTTATGTGTCTATTTATTTATTTATTATGGGGGTTTATTTGTTTACTTATTTTCATTGGTAAGCTTCAAAGGATTTTTGATGCTTTGCCTAACATAATGTGTTAGTGACCTGCTGGACTTATACTTGCAATATTAATCAAGCACTAAACCATATTTTGTTAAAACTGGTCTTGGCCTGTATCCAGAAACATTCGTTTCTGGTTTTGTAAGGTTAGAGTTGATCTACAGGGTTCTATTTCACAGCCAAAGCAGCAAGTAGCGCATTAGCTTTACAAATGAAAGTTATCAGACTTTTATACCAATATTCAAATCAAAATTATACAGTACTATACGTTTCTCTCTCTGTGATGATACTAGAGGGTAAAAATGTCACACTGAGATCGCAAGGTATATACCACAGATCAGATAACCTAGCTCTTCATGTGCAGTAAGACTCTCAGAAACATCAGACTAAAATGCAGTATGTTAAGTTAGTTGGGAAAAAAACAGAGCACCTTACATTTTAGCTTTAAAACATCCAACAGAAAGTATCAAAGCAATCACTGTCAACTCAGTCTGATTTGAACAGATTTTACAAACTAAACCCTTAATTGAATTAAAAACTTCTTTAGGAAATGAAATAGCTACTAAATAGGAAATTTAGGTGTGGTCATGAATAAGAGTTCTGGCAGTCTGTTTTCCATAGATTTTATCATACTGTATTAAAAAAGTAGCTACAAAATTTAAAAGTCATGTGCAACTTTCTTCTGGTACTGTATCGCAGCAGACGTTCTTTAAAAACATGCAACACAAAACAGGCTTATGTAAATGACTGAAACTTTTAATCTTGTTTTTATAAACTTTTAAATGTATGCCACTTATCTTTTTTTGAACTGAAGGATGAAATATGAACACAAACAGAACTGTCACTAAGGGCTGAAGAGAATTAGGGAAAGGTAGAGATCCTATCTCTTGTAATATGATGTATGTTACGCGGCTGAAACACACTCAGACTAAGAAAATACGTATAAGATTATATATACAGATCTTACAACTAACAGTTGAAATAATTCTAAAAATCTCACAGTAAACTTAAACCAATTTAATAAATTGGCCACATTATTTATCAGTGTCTACTTCTAAAATGAGAAGCTATCTCTGCTCCTAAGTATGCTACTCACTATACACCCCCCCGGCTACCCCTCTCTCTGAGTAAGAGAATCCATTGTTCTACACTACTGGTCTTCTGATTCAGTAGTATCAACCTTTAGATGCAAAACCAATTTAACAATGGGCTGACATTTAAAAACCTTGTAAAGGAAAATCAGTTTTCTGAACAAACATAATCCGAAAGACGACAATATTAAATATTCAAAATAAATGATGTGACGTTGTCTATGTTTTAATACGGAGGTGTATTTTAATATAGAGATATGATAAATTGTCAAACAGGAATAATAGATATAAACATTGTATTTAAATTACTTCCAAATCCATCTTTATTCGTTTGTACTTTAAAGAATAATTGCCTTGCGCAAGCCACAGAAAAGGATGTAAGTAACAGATTGATAAATTAGAGTTAATCATAACCAAGTACACAGCAGACTACAATATACCTCTATTCCTCTGCTCCGTGTTATAAATAGCAGAAAAAGCACAAGGAGAACTAAGGGGAAAGAATGCATTTCTTTATGACCTTATTTGAAAGATAAACTCCTTGGGGAAATACAATTTATTCAGATTATCAAGACCCTGCTGTGCAAATCTACAGTCTGGGAGCACACTACAGAGATCAAACAATATTTACTTTATTCTGTTGGGTATAAAAGCTTTTAATGAATGCATAATTAAGACAGAAAAAGTATATACAGCTTTAGAATTCCACTGCCAAGCCAAGCCATTAATATCCAAAGTATCGCACCCAGCGGTAACTCCACCTGCTTCCTATTTAGATTACAACACTGTTATAAATCAAGGTATTAAATGACTAGCCCTGCTGCTGAAACCGAGAAGAGTTGCACAGTGACACTATTTCCCCTTTTCCTAAAAAGGGTTCAGCCTCTTAAAAGCCAAAAAAGGAAGTATGAGGTCTCTGGGACAGGGATGTACGGGTTTATTCAAAATCCTTAAACAGCACCTAGCACAACAGGGTCGTGACGCCGAGTCCTCCAGGTTCTCTGCTATGTTAAATACTGTGAATCAGCTGCACCATTCAGAAGAGAACCTTGACATAAATCATAGTGAAGACAGACTCTAAATAGATAAGGGGTAGTAACAAAATGAAAAATTGTAGTGACAAAAATATACTTATCTGACAACATGAGAGATCAACGCAATTTTAAAAGAAAAGAAATCCAGTTCTATAGGTTCTAGCTCTTCCTTTCTATGTCAAAGGTTCTAGTTCTGCAAAACCGCACGCGTTTACCTAAGAACAAATCACGCACATACTCAACAGCACAGCAACAGACATACCTATTTCACACTAAGCATAATCACAAATCCTTCAAAAACTGTATTTTAGATCCACTAAACACCAAAGCCATCCAGTTGAACCATGAAAAACGTTTTGCTGAAGCCTGGTCA